GACCCAGGCCAGCGCTGCCGCGCAGGTGGACTACGTCGACTTGGAGGCCCAGAAGGGCCTAGGTGCTGAGGACCGGCTCACCGCCGCCGAGGCGACGAGCTACCGGCGCACGCTCGGGCAGCTGTTGTGGCTAGCAGCGCAGACCCGGGTGGGCATCGCCTGGCTGGTGAGCTTCGCAGCTCGACGCACCAACGTCGCTACCGTGGACGACGCGAAGATGCTCAGCAAGACTGTCGCCGATGCGCACTCCACCGCAAACTGCGCGATCGTGTTCAAGCGCAAGCTCATCGACCTGAAGGCGGCCGTCGCCGCATGCTTCAGCGACGCCGCGTTCGCCAACGTGGGCGGCGTCAAGGGCCAGTGGGGCATGGTGATGGGGCTCGCCCATCGCCCGCGTGACGTCGTCGGCGGCCGTTGCGACCTGCGCTTGCCCGTCGCCTGGCACCCCGGCACAGTCAAGAGGTCGGTGAAGTCGACCCTTGCTGCCGAGGGCGACGCTGCCCTCGAGGGGTCGGAGACCAACATGTGGTTCCGACAGCTGCTGACCGAGGCCTACAACCCCAAGACGGCGCTAAAGCATATCGACGTGCTCGCCGACAAGCGCCCTGGGGAGATCTACAGCGACAGCAAGTGTCTCGCGATGCACATCGCTTCAGATGCGGGCCAGTCTACCGACAAGCGGTTCCGCATCGTCGCCCCCGTGATCAAGGAGGTTTTCGGCATCATCACTTCGGCAGCCCCGATTTCGCGATTTCCCCCGAGAGTGCGACGAACGATATCAAGGGCCGCTGGTAGAGGCTCACCGGCAAAGACGTTTGGTGAGGATCTGACCTGATGGGCAAACCGGCGAAGCCCAAGAAAGAAAAGTGAACCCCGCTCGGTTTCCGGACGGCAGAATGGCCGAACGGACCGGCAACATTCTGCTGCTCAGATTTCTTACCCGGCTATTCATGCGGTAGTCCGCATTGCTGCCCAGATTTCATACCCGGCCAAAGATATACGTTAGTCCGCATTGTTGCTCAGATATTACGCCCCGCTAAAGATTCATGCGTTCCGCATTGCTGGTCAGATTCTATTCCCGGCCCAAAATCCACACGTGATTCCGCGTTTTTTTTATTTGTTTTCTGAGAAGCTTCATTCGTTTCAGTGCGTGCAGTTTTAGATGCGATGACGATCGCACCCGGTCATTCGTAGATCTTATCTCGATAAGATGGTTATATATTTTGGGCTTTGTCGCGTCGCGATCGAATTCTTGCCATCGCTAGTCTTTGATTAAGTGCCAGCGGCGCTGAGAGCCCAGTATACCTTGTATGCCGTGCAAGCCGTTTGCTTACTACAGATTTTCCCGATAACCATCTCCTGTTTGCAATGACGTTTCCGGCGAGTGAGTTGTCATTGTAGTCCCCGCTGAGGCGGCAGCGTTCCAGCCCGAGACGGCGATTAGGAGGAGTGTTAATCAAGCTTACTCCCCAGGAATGCAAGAGGCCCGAGAGGGTTTCCCCCAGAAGCCTCGAGGGCCCTGTGGTGTCATTCCTTGCTCGCCGCTGCCATTGCTATTTCGAATTAGGGCCTTTGGCTTTAGAGCTGCGCAGATCGCTCGAGCCGCGCTCGCTTTCGCCCAAAAGATCCGCGCCGCGCGCGCATCCATATCACAACTGGTGTATACTTTGAAGCTTCTGGTCGCAGGGATTGCGGACGTCTCGAGCGAACGCCGAGATCTGACACCGAACCAGTATCGTCATTGTGATTGCTGGAGGTTTCTAGTATGAGTCTGCGCGGCGCTAAGGCGAGAGCTGTATTTTGGAAACCACGGGTCCCCCATCCCTGTAGATTGTTGGGGCCCGAGAAAAAGTATCCCAGTGCGACCCGACCTAGGAGTTGGAGCCTCTAGGAAAACAACATTAGTTGATGCTGTGCTGCGCTGCGCTGCTCTATGCTATGCTGGGCTAGGCTTGGCTATGCTATACTATGCTATGCTATGCTGCGCTATGCTGTGCTGCGCTATGCTATGCCATGCTATGCTATGTTATGTGGTTGATTTGCCTTCGCTTCTGCGCTCACTTTTGCCATTTGTTTGCTTTTGCTTGGCACCCTACGAGCATTATGCGGTGCTGCGCTATGCAATGTTATGCTATGCTGCGCAATGCTATGCTGGGCTAGGCTAGGCTAGGCAAGGCTATGTTGTGCTATGCTATGCTATGGTGCGCTATGCTATGCTATGCTGCGCTATGTTATGCTATGCTATGATATGCTATGTGCTTGCCTTCGTTTTTGCCTTCACGTTTGCCTTTGCTGTTGCTTTTGTTTGGCACCCAGGGAGCGCAACTAGGGGAACCGCTCGTTTGATGTTACCCTTGCTGTTGCTTTCGCTTGGCTCCCAGGGGACCGGGGGAACCGCCCGGGGCGGGTTCCATTGCCCGGCCCCTTTAAGCAAAGAAAGTAAGAACCCTTCTAGGCAGAGCCCAGGTAGGGAAAAACACATGTTCGCGGCGCTAAACAAGAGCAGCATTGTGGATATTACCAGTTCTCCATCTGGGCACATGCTGGAGACTTTGAACCAGCTGGGCATTCGGAGTTGCGGCTGAAGTCGGCTTGGTTGTTGCCAGAGTGTTGCGTCGGCCATGTCTGCATGTTTCCTATCGGCGGAGGCCACCGATTTGAAAGGCGTTCCAGACGAACTTCAGACGAAGGCAGGCGAATGTCGAAGATCGTGTTGTTAGAGGTGGTGAAGGTGGGACCTTGGGAGCTACGTTTCCCTGAACCGTTTGGGCTTGATCTCGGTCCGTTGTCCGTCCTCAGCGTTTCGGGCTTGTGGTTGCCAGTTCTTCTTTGCATTTAGCACGCTGTTATTGGGCATTCATCGTCATGGCGTGAAGGCAGGGGTAGTCACAATAATCCTTTTCCGCCACGCGGAACAGAACATCAAATCTCATGAGTTACGGATTACGGCAAACACAGGGCGAGCAGGGACGGAGGAGGGATGATGCAGGAGGAAGGCATTGAGGATTGTGGTATGTCGTTGATGGGGAGGGTGAGTGGGGAGGAACAGCTTATCCTCCGCAACCCTCTGGCCCGAGCTCTTGTCTGCGGGCGCCTTAGTCCCGAACGAAACAAAACTTGAATCGGCCTTATCTGGGGGGGGGAGTTTCAGGTGCTTGCGCGCAGGCATTTTCTTGCTGCCGCCGTCATTCCTGCCCCCCGCTTCTGCGGCGTCGCAGATCGCCCCAAGTTCCTCGAACATCTCGATGTGAACAGTCCCAGCATCCGCCGCTCGGACACGTCGGGGGCGCCCCCAGTCGTCACCGCACCGGCCACCGCCAGCCACTCCGCGGCTTCGGCGTGCCAGGAGGTCGTCGGCCCAGGCGTCGTCCAGCTCGCCCACCACTGCCGTTTTCGCGTCGACTGCGGGTTGCACCGATGTCTTACCATGATGGACAACCGCAGGCGCAGGCCGCACGCGGCGCCGCAGCCGCCTCGGCCCGAGGCCGCCACCGCGGTCTCCATTCTTCGTGTGGTGCCCGACCTCCCCGCCAGGCACGCCGACGTCAGTCCGACTCCTTCACGGCCACCGCCGCGCCCTGCTTGTCGCGGCTCACGGCGACACCGCCACGGCCGCCGCGCCTTCGCCGCCGCCGAATGACAGGCGCGGCATCAGGCGGGGGCGGTTGGGCGGTTGGGCCGCACAAGCCCGCCGCCGCGCGCAGCAGGCCTTCCAGCTGCTCGCAGAAGGCGCGCTCCCGCCAGTGAGTGGCTTGGGGCCCGCTGAAAGCATAGAGACGAGATGGAAGGAGGGGAGGAGAAGGAGCGAGGAGCAAGGAGCATGAGGAGAGGAGGCACGATGGTTTTGAGAAGGGCGGAGGAGGAGGAGGATGAGGAGGAGGAGGAGGGGGAGGAGAAGAGAGAGAGAGAGAGACCGTTCTCGCCAGAGAAACGCCGTGTTCGCGAAACGACCGCCTACGGCAAGCTGTCAGCGACACTGCTGCAGACGGGTGACACGTCAGGCACGAACGAGAGAGAACGAGAGTGAGGAGAGATGGGGCTGAGGAGAGCGGAGGAGGAGGTTGGAGGAGGGGTAACAAATACAGACAGAGGAGGAACTTAGTTTGAAGAGGATATGCCTTTATTGAGGAAGGACATGCTGTCAACAGGTTCTCAGGCGTCTGAAACGGATCTCGATGTTTCGCGTTATGAACTCCCCGCTTTCTCATCCCCATATTCGTTTCCTCCTCCTCCTCCTCCTCCGCCTCGTTTTCTCCTCCCCCTCCCGCTTTTGACCCTCCCTCTCCTTTTTCCTTCGCTCGCTCCGTTCCGTGTGCTATCCTTGATGCGGGTTGATCCACCTTGTGTCAGGGCACGAAGGCGGCATCTCACGGGCGCGCGGACCGCTTCGCCAGCGGGTCGCCTCGCCGGCGGATCGCTTGGCCAGCGGACCGCTTCGCCAGAGGACCATTTCGCCGGAAGGACCGCTTCGGACCCAAACTGGACGGGCGGACCCTGACGGGCGGGTCGGGCGGGTGAGGCACTAAAGCAGGCTGGCGGGATTGCAAGCCAGCGAGCGGGCGGGTGGACCCTGACGAGCGGGCTGGGCGGGCGGACGCGGCGTACGGGGCGAAGCGGTCCGCGGGCGAAGCGGTCCGCTAGGCGGTCCGCGGGCGAAGCGGTCCGCCGGCGAAGCGGTCCTCCGCCCTTCTGGCAGGAGGTCTGGTGGGCCACGTCGGCGCGCCTGGGGCAGGGGGGCCGGGACGGGTCGTCGGGCGGGGTGGCATTGGGTGGGGTGCTCGTGGAACCCCCTCGGTCCACGGATGGGGCCCGATGCGATCGATGCACAGCGCGTGGATAGCAGCAGAGACGTCGGACTCGCGCACCAGATTTCCCATTGAGGACCGTCGCAACCAGAAACAAGCAGGGTCCGGTCTGTTCGATTGATCGATCTTCGAGTTGGGGTTGTTTTTGGATAGTCACGGGGCACGGGTGGCCCCTCTGGAGAGCGCCAAGGGGAGGCGCTGCCGGGGCCATGGCGGAGGAGTTCGCGAAGTTCAAGCGCTTCGAGTACCGCACCAACTCCAACCTGGTTCTGCAGCGAGAAGGCGCCACCGAACCGCTCCGACGACCTCTGGAGACTCGAAAACCTTCAGGCATCCGACGATGCACAAATAAACTTGACATCCCGCTCGCCCTCGTTCCTTTTTTTCTTCTTGCCCCCCTCCTCCACCTCATCCTCCTTCCTCCCTCCGACGCCTTTCCTTTTACCCCCGTTCTTATGAAAGGAGGCCGGGAAAAGGGAGGCGCGGGTGCCAGGTATGAGCAGGGATGAGGGGGAGGAGGGGGAGGAGGGGAGGAGGAGGAGGGGGAGGACCAGGAGGAGGAGGAGGCGGAGGAATTCTCCACGCTTCGTGTATCCCCACCGGACCGTTTAGAAACCCTGCCCATGAGAACTGACGGGAAAAAGGACGACGAGACACATATAGTGATTTAGAGGAACAAAGCGGGCAACCTGGATGAACGGAGAGATCTCTGGGAGCAAGGAGCTGGCCTTGGAGGGCCTCTTCGGGCCATCCCAGGGGCCCGCAAGGGGGCGAGGGGAGGAGGAAGAGGAGAGGAGGAGGAGGAGGAGGAGGAGGAGGCAAACCGCCTCTTGGGGCCCTCGTGGGACGCTCTCGGGACGCTCCTTGGGCCGTCTTGGGGCCCTCTTGGGGGCCATCCGTGTAGCTGTGCGACATGTTCGACATGAGTGCGCGTCGCCAAAGCGATCGCCTCAATTGACGGCGACTCGCTCTCCATCCGCGCAATTTTTGCACAAATGCCTGCCCCGCGCGCCGTGGGAATGCCAGAAGCCCACTCCGCGGCCCAGGGGAACGCCGCTCCCCAGACATGCGGTGCGGCGCCCTGAGCGTCGCCTTGACGCGCGTCGCAGCGACGCCCGAGACGCCAGGAGCGCGAAGAACCCCCAGGGCGCGGGCGGATGGAACAAAACGCAGCACGCGGCCTCGCATGGGCACCTCCCCAGCGAGGCGAACGCCAAGCGCGCACAGCCGCGCACGGACGGGCCCCCCGAGGCCGCCCCAGCGCCACGCGCACCCCCATAGCCTGGCCGAGAGACACGGCCGTACATGGCCGGACTGCGGAGAAGAGAGAGCAGGATCCCAGAAGCGGCAGCCGCACGAGCAGAGCAGCACCAGCATCTTTCCGCCTCGGCCCCGCACCCCGACCTTCTCCCCCTCCCAAGGACGAGGAGAGGGCAGGGGTCCGTGGCGGACGCAGGGGCAGCATTCGTGCCAACCCACAAAACGCTGCGACGGTGCGAGCACTGTCCCTGCGTTCGTGGCTCATCACAGTTCAAGTTCCAAGGACGCCAGCGGTGAGTGAACTTTCAGGCAAAACGCCCGGACCGCCCTAGTGACACACGTTTGTTGGATAATTCGGCTCATGTTAGATGTCATACTAGATACCATGTCTGACCGAAGTGGGACTGGCATTTGCTCAGCCGCCATTGAAGGAGAGAGGAGGAGGAGGAGGAGGAGGAGGAGGAGGAGGAGGAGGAGGCACCGATGTCACCGTGACAGCGTACGCGGTGTCGTCGATGCACTGCGCGCCGCCGCCAGCCGCGACGGGGCGGCCAACACCACCGCGGTGGAGGATAAGCACCGCCAGTGCCCGGCGAGTCAGGCGCCCTTCGGATAGTGCCCCTGGCGCTTGAGATCGCCGGCCGGCACGGCCAGGCGGCGCTGCGGCACCTCCGCAGCCTGGCCTGGGAGCAGGCCGCATTGCTGGCGCCAGACGACGCCTAGGCGGAGGCACTGGCTGGGCAGCTGGTTGCCCGGTGGGGCCGGGAGCTGATCGTCGCCTTGTACAGGGCCACAGCTTGGCATTTGCAGGCAATCTCGGCGTTGACCGCGCTGAACGGGTGGTTGGTGCCGAAAGTCGACGCGGTGGCCTTTTTCATCGCCGTGCCGCTCGTGCAGATCCGACGGGTTCGGGGTGGGCGTGCACGCGTGTGACCTTGTTTGTATATGCAGGAGGAAAAAATGGAGGAGGAGGAGGAGGAGGAGGAAGAGGAGGAGGATGTGCAGGAGGACGAGGAGGGCGAGGAGGAGCAGGAGGAGGAACAAGAATAGGAGGAGGAGGAGGCGGAGGTGTAGCATGGAGGACGAGGAGGAGGAGACGGCGGAGGAGGGAACAAAGCGGCAATGAGCACAGAAGGGGAGCATGCATATAACGGCGGATCAGGGCCAGGGCTCCCTGGGGAGCCTTGACTGGCGACTCGTGTGCCGCCCTTCCCCTGGGCCTCCATGAGGCCCCAAGACGGCCCAAGGGGGCTCCCAGAAAGCTCCCAGACAGCTCAAGAGAGCCCCAGACGGTCCAAGAGAGCCCGCCCCGTTTCGCCGAATGATCGCTTTGAGACGTCCAAGATGGCCCGAAGACGGCGCAAGAGACCACCAAGACGCCCCAAGCTGCGACAAGAGCAATCCCACGAGGGGCCCCAAAACTGACATCGTGGAATTTATGGCTCGAAGTTGGCTCCAGAGTCCCAGCCCAAGGTACGGCCCAAGGTACGGTCCAAGCGCACGTACTGTTATCTTCATTTCGTCTCCAAGTGCTCCATTCATATATTATCCAGTGTGCTCTTCTCATTTGTGATTGTTCCCCAAGAAGCGAGGCATGCCGGAAACACTGAATATCGCGTCTCCTGAACCGAGGCGTTCAGCATTGAAACAAGCTGAGAAGTTCCCCCGCTCCGAAACCCGTCCGGAGCAGCACAATGGCTATCTCACCAGTGGCAGGCGCTGACGAAGGAGGGCAACATCGCGAATTGCAGCAACAGTACGCGCAGCCCATGTTGCAGAACGCTCCTTGAGCAGCAAGCACAGCAACACCTGTCATAATGGAAAGTTCCGAAACAGTTCTCCAACGACACCCGGAACCAATCCGGAAAAGCATCGACGCGATCAAGAAGCACGGCGTTTCTCAACAAGATCTTCGGGATGTTGTCGATTCTCTTCGGGCGACAGTGGACGGCACCACATCCAGAGTATAGCCCTGGGAACGCCCACTCCTCAAGCTATGTCTGCGCGCTCCGGGTCAGCAACTTCGTTCGTGAAGACGATGGAGGCCAATATACAAGATATGGAAGAGAATTTGAACAGCCTCACGGGAAAGGGTACACGACAGCAGGGACAACTGCTGTTGAACAGCGGATTGGATCATCTTTCCGATCTGGAGGCAGCCCAGGTTTTTATCAAGGTGCACCTCAACTCCATCCTTCTTGCACCGCCATCCGATATCTTCATCAAAAGCGAGTCGTTCAACGGGGTTGTCTTGGCGAGGATGGTTTCTTCTCGGGATGTGGATGGGTTGATGAAGAATTTCCGCAACCATGCCATATGTACAACGGGCACAGGGTTTGGAAGATCCGCGACATGCTTGTTACTTCACGGGTGCCCCTGCGTTTCTGGTTCGGTTTCGAAGGCATGTTGACGGAATGTGGCTTCAAGAAAATGTCAGTTCAGATGGATGGCGCGTCCTTGACGATGACCGTCGCCGGGGAGAACATCATTGCAGCGCCCATCAACAATGGCGCATTGCAAAAACAATGGAAGAGCTAATCATTGGAGCAGTGGGGTGTCCCCCACAGCGTCCCCGCATCCCAGAACCTTGCCGCCGCGTGTCAGGACGCCCTCTGACAGATTACGGACCAAGGGAAAAGGGGAGAGCAAGTGGAGATGCCCGGGGGGCTAAGCCGCATTTTTGTGTCGCTCTCTCTGCGAGTCACCCCGCTTCAGATGCGCCTGCGCGCGTTGCAGTTGACAGCGGCAACGTGGAACGTGACCGGCCTGACAAACGACAAACAAGTCACGCAAGTGGCGAAATTATGCGTGAACGCAGGATCGATTTATTTATTTTGCTTGCAGGATATTTGGGCCAACTGAGCAGACTACAACGCTGAGTGCGGATTTCAATGTATACTATCTGGGGCAGAGGGCGCAGACAGGTTTCGGACAGGAATAGGCTTGATCATTGCACCGTGGTCTAAGGTGTTATTTCGTGGTTTTCTTTCATGTTCCGACCGACCGGAAAGTATCAAAAAGAAGAGCGGCGCGCAGAATATTTACATTCTCTCAGGCTGCGCTCTGCACGACTTGAAGCCGTTGCCTGAACGCTTGCAAGTCTACGAAGATCTTGGGTCGTCGTCAGCGGCGATATTTGCGAGCGGTTCCAAATTCATTTTCTTCGATTTCAACGCTCGAATCGGGCGCGAAACTGGCGAAGAAAACGTCGTGGGTGTGTGCGCGTACGGGAGAGAAGCCGCCCGCCGAGTTTAATGTTCCCATCGCGATCTCATTCTTGAGTTTCGCGCCGGCTTTGGGGGATAATTTCTTCAACTCCAGCGGGAAACAATGCGACGCATGTCGAGCCTGGGATTGCGCCGATGGCCCCGCCAAAGCCAGATGCGCTTTCAATGTTAGACGCTGTTCTGGCTCGTCTGGGGGGCGACTCCACCCAGATGGTCCGCAGCTGCCGCGGCGCAGCGATCGCCGCTCGTCATGTCCTCGTGGAGTGCGCGCACGCCGGAGAGTGGGCGGGACTGGCCGCGCCAGGGCGAATGCCATTCCACGCAGCGCCAGCACCTACGGCGACGCTTTTGTAGGAGCGCTTGTTGCTGGGAACAACTGCGTGGACCTCGGCCCGGGCGACGTCGTCGAAGCCGCGCGGCAGGGCATCTCGGAGTCTCTCTCGGTCGCTGGGGATGGTCTTCCTGATGCGGATATCGAGCCAAGGCGCCCGTGGATTTCAACGGAAGCAGCGGGCGACCGCGGCTCGGCGGAATGGCTGCGCGAGGAAGCGCGGGGAGCGGCGAAACATGTAGATGAAGAGCTATCTAGATATTATGGTCGCCGATGGGCCTCGGGAAGGCGCTCGCAAGTTACAGTCGGCCCAGATTAGTCGGTCGACCCTGCCAAGTCAAGGGCGCTCTTCTGTCATGTATCTCGCGACCAATTTCTCCTGCAGTCCTGTGGCGACGTGGCCCTCGGAAGGGTCTTTCGTCCTCTCGCGCGCCCTGCCCAATCGAGTCCGACTGCGCGGCGCC